CCATTGTTAAATTGAAGTTCTGCATGTAGCACTTTTAAAATCTAGGATATGAAAGCTCAATTCATGAGCTTTCTTTTAGTACAAGAATCATTCGAATCACTCATGTACTTTTCAAGTTACGGACTTTTAAACACAACCACCGTTTTAAAGTTCTGACCACGAATCATAAAAAGGTAAGTGTTCTTTCAGCAAAACGAAAACAAATCAAATAGGGATCTGTGTGAATTGTTTTCGGTTTGCTGAAAGAACGCACACCTATTGTGTGATCCGTGGACAGAACTTTAAAACGGTGGTTGTGTTTAAAATTCCGTAACTTGAAAAATACGTAAGTGATTTGAATGATTCTTGTACTAAAAGAAAGCTTATGAATTGGGCTGTCATATCCGAGATTTTGAAAGTGCTACATGCAGAACTTCAATAAAACAACTGTCCCGACATTTGGGTCTCGGGTTTTTTTTTTTACTCACCCTGTACTTTGTTTTTATTTTAAACGATCTTTCCAAACGTTTCGTGGTAAGCACGTTGTCGAGACCAAAAGGTTCAATGACTGTTGCAATTCTGTAACCAAAGGTGAGGTCTACTGATTTACCAAAAAAAATGAATGAAAATATATAAAGCACACGTGCAATTACAAACAGAAATAAAGATGAAAACAATGCGAAATATAACTATTTTTGTATCTCTTGAAACGAATGTTGACAGCTGATCAGATAATTGACAGGAACAGCGACGTAACAACGTTAGCGCCTGTCATTGTCAAGGCGTTGCCCAACGTTATCCAGTTGTCAATAAACAATACTTGAGCGACACGTTCGAGTGATTGGCAGTTCAGTTAGCAACACCACTTCCCGATAGCTACCTGATCCGTACATCCGGCCGGCCGGGAGAAATTCCTCGCCTGCCCCTCGGCGAATCCCGGTAAAAGTTTGTACAACCAAAACCACTATCGCCTAGATCAGTGCAAAATCAAATCTTCAATGGTGTTATGGGTCTGTACCACACGACATGCATCTCTATACGTTTCTATAGTAGTATAGACCTTTACAATGCGTTGTGAACTTGTGACTGGTGGGTGTCTGTTGTTTGTGTGTTATTCCCTCCGCAAAGAGGTTATGTTTTCATCGGATTTTGTTGGTTGGTTGGTTGGTTGGTTGGATGGTTTGTCTGTTATAACAAGTAACTAAAATTGCGTTATGGGCGGATTTCCATGAAAAGAATAAATAGGGGTGGTCCTTGGTACAAGTACAAATCGATTAGATTTTTTTGCAAGGATTCTTCACCATTTATGCGAGTATTTCTTTTAGTTGTATTGACAATATGGCGGGGAATTGTTTAGTCTTGGCGGAGGTTTGTCCTATCAGAGTGCTTTCAAATTTGAATTCGTATACTTTTAACATTTTAGCTATTGTTCAGGTTTTGTAATGCGCATTTGAACATTTTATGGTATATGCACAGAATAAATGCAATATTTATTATTATTTATTATAATGTTTAGCAATCATTGAACAAAAGGTTCACTCGTGCCATTTTCCTGGTGACGCAAACCATTGCCCTCTAACTCCGCCTTAACGCATGATGTCTATTGTAAAAGTACAATGGCTCTCAAAAATGAAAGGAAACCAAACGACTGGATTTATGTTTATATACCATGGAGCCTCTTTAAAATAAATAGCTCCATGATACCTAGTCCTTCAAGCCGAAATTTAGAAAGCACCGCACTGATGTACCATTATAATGTATGATTTCAAAGCGTGTATGTCCCTTAAGAAAACAGTTAAAACAGTGCAATCCCAATCTTTCCTTTATTAATGGTGGATACTTGTGATTTTTTCCCCATTGATTAAGTTCGCTTCGGGGCTAGAACAACGGTCCCACAGCTCCCCCAAGCCGGACGTCCCACCGCGTCCGTTGTTTTCGTTCCGCCGGGAATTAATGAACAAATCCCGGCCGGGATTGTGGCTGTGCACTGGTGCGTGGGTAAAGCTTTCCGGAAAGAAAAGTGTTACTGCGGTTTTGAATTTTTTTTTCTCTCCCTGTCCTGTCCCTTGAGGTTTGACAATTGACTTCTCACACATTTTCTTAAGGTGTTTGGAGGAGGGAAAAGAAAGTGTTCCTGGGAAATTATATCCGGAGGCGAGGTCAAACGACTTATGTTCTGGGCCCGCGTTTTGAGTGTAACCACTTCGCGGGTTTATTTTTACGAGTCCATGAAACCATGCAACAGAGTTATTGCAACATGCGTCCAAGTACCTATCGATAAAGAGTAAGCCCCCCCCCCCAAAAAAAAAAAGTAGAGTGCATTTTTAGCTTTAAAACAACAAGTTATTCTACAAATTACTATTAACGAAGGATGTGACGTTTATATGTTTAAGCGTTAAAAATTCTAATCGGCATAAAAATGTTCGAAAAAACCTTTGAACAAAACCCGGATTGTTAAAAAGTGACATTCGTTTACTCTATCTGCCTTTGAAGTAATACATTGCATTTCATTCACGCACACAAAATGATGCCTTTAAACTCATTTCATTTCCAAAGCAAAAGGACAGTCCGTTGTGAACGATCTCTTTTTGTACTTGTAGTTAGGGGTCGATGACGCCTTTTGTTTGTTGTGCAGCTACATGTTTATTCATGTTTAATATTCTAACATGCTCGAGTGCAAACATGGGCAGGCGGCAGCTTTAGTTATAAGTGGCCGAAACCTTTAAACGTTTAAATGGTTTTCTGAACGTTTACAACATTAAACGCAAAGTCCGATATACTTACCTTGCAATGACTCTTCAAAAATGGAATATCGAGGTAAGGCATATATCCCACGTGGTTTAAAGAGTTTAATTTAAAAAAAAAACTGTCTTGGGCGGGCCGTCACCGCGTTATGGCGAACTTTGTTTTACTGTAAGGGAAATTAGGACCGAGTTATAGGGATTTTCTGCTGTCCCCATATAGCGTCTTCGGTCTCCATAGTACCATGGGACAACATGTGTGTAGCCCCCATTAGATACGGATCAAGAATGTGTCTGAGTTTGTGTGTACTGCACTAATATTTTAACCTGATTTTCAATACAACATATCATGTGAGACTTCTTAACTGCTCTGGATCTAAAGAAGAAAGTATAAACGGAGTCTTGCAAAAAAAAACGACAAAACGGTCAAATATTCGTTCACGGTTTTTGTTTATGAGGAAATCCAAAACGGTAAAACAAAATAACGGTATGTCCCGGGATTGCTCACATATAGTTAATTCAATTTTTGTAAGTGACATTAATTTCCGCTTTAACGTTTACACATGGGTGAATAAAATGTACACATGGGTGATATTTTGCCCTACTTCGATACAAATGTAGGTCTTGCAAGGAAGGAATTCTTCAAATTTACCACATATTTTTCACGCTTAACCTTTTGACACACACGTTTGATTACATCCCCAACCCCAGACACACAACACAGTAAACGGTAATCTAGTACTTAGTAGGTTTACAGAAAATGCGAATTATGCAGTACGCATCACGATATCGAATCGTCCGGGAAAAAAATTAGAAACAAACATCTGCTTCTGAAGTCACTCTTTTTTTTGTTGCTCTTTTCGTAGCACAGAAAAACATTGAAGCGGAAAATTGGGGCTATGAGGAGCCCCCAAGGGGCGGCCCCGGGGTCGGAGAACAGGGGGGAGGGAGGGCCGTGGGGGAGGGACCGACACCAGATTGTCTGAAAGGGGGTCAAGGAGTTAAACGGTTGTCATTAATAAACGGGAAAATTGGGCCACAGTATAAACTGAAGGCTGTGGGTAATCACGTATGATATACATGTACATGTACTTGTACTTGGTGCGCTAAGTTCGCTCAAGACGACGAGAACCATAGAATAGGCTGTTCGCTTTGCCTGCCATTTGGTCTGATTAGCAACAAAGAGGGCGTGGATTTGACAGTACATTGTACTTTTAGTTCAGAACAGTGTATAGAAAACTAGGATTTCTGGTAAAACTAAAAAAAGACTGGTTTTTATCCAGACTTAGAACCATGAAATTGTTTATTTCAGAGTCACAATAGTCTATGGAATATCCCCTTGCACAGCAAGGGTCTATGATGCGAGCAGATTCGGCAATTAATTATGCAAAACAAGACTGCGTCTTGACCTCAAGATTCTGACCATTCAGCGGGCGCCTTCTATCGGGTGTTCCGTAACCCGTAATACAACTTGCATACAAAATATTGATCAAATGACAGCTTTGTCCACATTTCTGATCAAAATGACGTCGTAATTTCCAAAGTCGGCTCCGATTGGCTGGTGCGCGGGGTCACATAAAGTTTGCATTGCTCACATTATATGGTTACGGAGAGGGCTCCGTTGGATAACTGTGTTACTCAGACTTCCAAGTTAGTCACGCACGGGCCTCGCTGTATTTATTATTATGTTAAAATGTTTTTGAAACTTCGGCTTTGTCACCGGTTCGGTCTCATCTTTGGCTGGGCTAAAATCATTAAGAAGCTGTTCCATTTCCTTACCAAAATATTAAATGATCTTTACTTCGCCCTTTATTAAGGAAAGCATTTTGGTCCTCGTGGAGCAGAAAATGGACCTATGGGCCTTATTCACGAGTCGGCCATATCGAATTGAAAGTGAGGTAAAATCTTAATTTTGGAACTTGCGAAGAGAAATGAAAGCAACTTAATTCCTAATTAATTCCAGTTTCTTTCAATGAATAAGTTTAAATTTGTTAATAAAAATTCCTAATGTTTAAAGCCAGAAAAAAAAAAAAAGACAGTAAAATAAGGCTGCATAGTGTCTGCATAAACAGTCTGGCGCCATCCCATTGAACAGTAAACACTTAATGAAATACGTTCAGGGAACTCGACAAAAATTGCCAACTCGTTAATAAGGCCCATACTAGGGAGCGGGATTCTTGTCAAGTCAGAAAGTTCTGCAGCCAAATCCAGAAACAAAACCGTGGTTTCGAAAACAGCCTTGCACAGATGGCTGCGTGGGGAAAAGAAACAGTCAGTTACCTGGACTCTTGCCTCGGTCAAGTCGCACCTGAGGGCCAGCTGTTCCCGGCAGTAGACGTCAGGGTAGTGGGTCTTCTGGAAGACTTTCTCCATTTCTTCCAGTTGGAAGCTGGTGAAGGTGGTTCGGTTCCTTCGCTTCTTTCTCTTGGATATACCATCCTCTTCTGTCTCACCATTCGATCCTGGAAAAAAAGTCCATCAAATTTAAATGCATCTTTGTGTGATTTTTTTCAGTCTCTATTGTCATATCTCAGGATTATATAAGGATCTTTTTGGTTTGGTATTTCCATAATCATATGTAAAACTGCAATGTCTCCCTAAGGGGAGTTGGTTTGGCGTAGCGGTACTTTCCTCGCCTTCCACCGCTGTGACCCGGGTTCGAATCCCGCCTGGGTCAACATGTGGATTGGGTTTTCAGTCTATATACCTGATTCCGTGGGTTTTCCCCAGACTATTATTCGGGGGTTTTCCTCCCAACTCTTAAACTGTTATCTCTTCTCACTATCTTCTCTCTACAGGTTTCTTCAGGCTTGCAAGCTACAGTGCCCAGGGCGCTCTTCGAGATTCCTTGTGTCATTACCAGAGATAAAATATTAATAATAATAATAAGAGGAAGAGGAAGAATAGGTCTACTATTTCAGCTTCTTAAAGGTAGTGTACATTTGCAAACCTTAAACAATGAAATTACCAAATTATCATGAAATGCCTTGACTGTAAGTAAATAATTGTCTTAAAGGGAATATACAACATTTGCAAACATCAAAAAAACGAAATGATCAAATAATCACGAAATACCTTACTGAATTGTTAGGAATTGACAGTCTAAAGCATCCTGTAAAATTGTGGCTCCTGGTGTGCTGATATTTTTAAGAAAAACTGTATTTTTCCAACGCTGGTCGGCCGACCAGCGTTGGGAAAAACTGGCTTTTTTCCAAATGTGCTCCTAACTTTTCACTTAATTATTCCGCACTTTCTTTGCAATTGATTACACAACTGTGAAGGGGGTACAAACCTGCTAGAGTGATTCTTTGACCATACAATTCCCCAAAGCCTTTACATTTTTCCGTTTAATCTTAAGTGGGGTAAGGGAACCAGACTACAAGAACATGATTAGTTTATTGGTTTTTGCCTGCATATACAAGCCCAAAACTTGAAAAAAAAAATCAGTTTCACAATATTTGCTATAACATACTAATCCTCCAAATCCATTTATTTCAGAAAATTGCAGCAAAAGCAAATGCAACTAGACTATAGTGGCTTGTGCCCATTCACGGCTATGTTACCGATGGCAAACAAAACGTGGACTAACTAAATTCGGTCAAATGGAGGTAGTATTTAAAAAAAAAAAGCTTTTTTTCAACGATGGTTGGCCGAACCATCATCGAACCGTCGTTGGAAAATAATACAAAGTTGAAATTTTCTTGACAGCCATACCAGGCGCAATTTTACAACAATCCTGACCGGACAATTCTCTGACGTCTATAAATTATTGTCCTGTTTTTTCCTGAAGCGTAGGGTCAGGGAACCACATTACAAGCACAACATTTTTCTTCATTTTTTTCCAGCATAAACCGGTCAGTGTAGGCCCTAACAAAATTTGCTATAAAATGCTAACCCCTATCCATTTCTGAAAATTACAGCAAAAGCCAATGATTATTACCTATAAGTACATGTATATACCATGCTGGAAGAATACTTCTTTCGAAAAAAAACCCACATTTTTTTCCTTCTGATTGAGTACCTGGAACTTTTCCCCCGAAGTAATTATGATTACGGAAACCGTGACTCGGGTTTTTTTTTTTGTCAATAGTGATAAATCCTTGCGCTTCAATGGTTCAAACTTCACTACACATGATGAACCACCATACGTACCTAACTTATTGGACGAGCCTGAGTCGGAGTCGTTGCCATGGTTATCCTTCCCGCCATGCCCTTTCTCTGACTTTCTGAATGCTTCCTTGTCTGTTGCCGCAACAGCGGGCGGCATTTTCTCCGACTTGATGAGTTTCAGCGGGGCAGCCGTGGTGAGCAGACCGGTGCTGCGCTGCGCAGGGACCGGCGGGCTTGTCCGCTCGATGTCGGCCCGACAGTCCGGTCGCCGCTCGTAGTCGGCACTGCTGGGCGAAACAGCTCCTAGAAACGAGTCAAAATGTTGAAAATAACATCAATTTGGTCTTAACATGAAAGAGTAGGAGGAAAAGCAAACCCGGACTCAGTGGAGGTTCACATTCCGCGACCGTCATACTTACTGAGTACAGTAGTGGTGCATTTTTAAGACGTTCCATTAGTTTCCGATGATCGATTACAAGGGGACCCCTGTACTGAAATTTCAGGAGAGTTATACAAAAAATGGGCAATACATAAAAAAAAGTGACGGCTCTGATGGTTTCATAATATTTAGAACTCGACCATGGGTGGATTCGAACCCAGAAAGATCTTCTGCAGCAGGGAACGATAACAAGCAGTCCACCGCAAGTCCATCACCAGTCTATCACCATCACAAACCCATCACAAGTCGATCACAAGCCCATCACAGGGCCATCACAAGTCAACCGCGAGTCCATCTCAAGTCCACTACAAGTCCATCACAAGTCCATCTCAAGTCCGTCACAAGTCCATCACAAGTCCATCACAATTCAATCCCAAGTCAAGTTCAGGGGATTGACAACGAAAAGAAAGAATGGCTTCGATGTCGCAGTTCATTTGAAAACAACCTGACTTGCAAGTCTTGCACGACTGGATGACTTGTGATTGGCTTGTGATTGGCTTGTGATTGGCTTGTGATTGACTTGGGATTGACTTGGGATTGACTTCTGATTGACTTGTGATTGACTTGTGATTGACTTGTGATTGACTTGTGATTGGCTTGTGATTGACTTGTGATTGACTTGTGATTGACTTGGGATTGACTTGGGATTGACTTGGGATTGACTTGGGATTGACTTGTGACTGACTTGTGATGACTTGAGATGACTTTAGGCACCTCTTATCTTTACCTACGACTCAAGGATTAGGGCTGGCAACATGTACTGTGCCTTACGGCATCCAACAAAATCAAATTGAAAGTTCTGAGACAGCTCAAGAACACTGTATATTAAAACAGACGTTATGTGATATCGTAAGACCAGTCACTGATGTCGCAACTAAAGACTTCGGATCACGTGTTGAATTTCATCCCTGGTAGCGGTACAACATCGCAGACAGTATACATGTTCACACTGCATAACGCTCACTTCAGCAAAGTTTCCACCAACGGTCCATCGTTACAAGCCACAAGTCTGCATAAACGTTTTAAGACAAATGTGAACTTGCTATAACCTATCGTACCACGCCATGCGTGGCGGTAGTGTAATATTCATCTCTCCAGTTCAAACGCGGTAATACTAATACTTCCACGTCTCAAAATGCCCGTGCTATGGACGAATGTCAGTAATAACACCCCTGAAAATGTCCATATCGCTTACAGATAAAACAAAGACCAGAGCAATCACAAAGATAAGTCACGAATGGGACATGGCATATTAAACATATGGCTGGAAATGTGAGATCGATGAAGGGTTGAAGATCATGCAATGTACGCTAATTCAATGGACAAGTCTACATATGTTATGGTCGTGTGATTAGTGAAGATGATTGTTTACTCTGCAATAAAACTGGACAGAGACGCCCTTCGGCTTTATACATTAATGCTTCCACAACCTATCGTTTATGGTATGCCGACTGCCGAAGTGAGATTATACAACATGTACTACTGTGAGTCATGTACGTGACACGGTCATGCGCTGTTATAACAATAAGTCATTTAGAGTTTTTCTTTGTTGTTATAAAATCCCACAGTGACGCATCATTTCCATCTCTTTCAATGTAAAAGCTGGCTTCTTTATTTCGTGTTTGTAGTCACCGCATACAGTGGCCCTTCAAAAGCAATCACTAGCTTTATTGAACTTCGATGTGTGCACCACAATGCACCAATTTAGGGTATAAAAAGAAATACTTTCTCTTAGCGGGAACTCATCAAAAGAAACCAAAAGGCGCGCTGTAATGTCAAGAAAACAGCTATTACGATAAGAATGCAATACAATAATCGAACGTAAAAATCCTTAGCCCCGAGGGATCAGACGCTACCGTGTCCATGCCGTTTATACCATGCGGGCCATCGGCGCTGCCGGCCCCGGCAGAAGGATCACAACACGCACCGCGAGCTGCTAACGCACTACGTGTCCTTGGGCAACTCAGCACGACCCATCATGGCCCAGGAGAAAGGGGGAAAAAGGACATCAGCGATTAGATAAATCTCGTCTTTAGGCAAACTTGCCGCGGCGGGTGAGAAGCCAGGCTGGCTCCGGCCTGTCTGGGCGGGCCCTGACAGGTGGGAACGATGGGGTATTGTCGCTGAAACAATTACGACCACCGCTCAAGGGAAGAAAATACAAGGGAAGAAAATGCAAGAAAGTGCGAGATAAGACAATAAAAAAGAGCTTTAATTCATTAAAGGGAAAGTCTGACTATAAAATATGGCCTAAGATTGAAGAGATATTCCCAGATATCATCGTCAGTGGCTCAACTTTATCAATACTTCCATTCTTTCTCCACAAAACAAGATAGTCTTGTTCATTAATTATGGTATCGGCAGAGATGGTTTTGCTTCATCAATTTATCGAAATATTCTTCCGAAACTTGTCAATTCTTTTCCTTCTTGTCTTAAAAAAAAATCACTAGTTTTTTTCAAGGAGGCGCTTAAAAATCTTAAAGAGTTTTATTTAATTAAATATAATGATCTCATCTGTACTAACTTGTACTGTTATACGCGTTCAGCACTTAATCACCAGAGCAAGGAACGGGTTTGAAGGCATGACCTGTTTTTTGTTTACATTACTTTCTTACAGCCCGAGAAATTATGAGTAAATTCAATTAGGGTCGACTGTCGCTTGCCACGTGCACGTCATCAACTCTAATTCTCGTTGATATGATTTTGGCAGGCATTGATATGATGTACATGGGGCACATCGTTTGGTATGGTGTGTACCAATTTGTGGCTACATCACTGCTGAAAAGATGACGTGCTGAATCTGGTACCCCCGTTCGAATCCCGTTGGGGGACTTAAAAGTGTGTGTGATGAGCATGTGTATACTAGTCTGGGCTTACTGAGTGTTATTTTTGTCCGTTCGCAACTGCGAAGGGATCATCCGATATGGGTGTGGTGTCTTTACCGATCTTCGGATGGTGAAAGAAAAATAAACATGTTTACGACTCCTCGTAGTGGATGGGATTCTTTAGGTCTATGAAATCGGGTGAACTTTTGTTTTTAAAATAAATGGCTCCATTGGGAGAAAAGAAAATACCTCCTGAATTTCTCACGCTCGAAATATCCCTCCCCTACCCCGTCTCGAACGCTAACCCCGTTCGGCTTGGCGGTGTTTGTTATTATTACCCATCAAATGCAGCCAGGTACGCCGCGGATTTAGGACTCTAGTGTTACCTCGATTGGTTGCCAGTGCGCGTAATAACACAGGCCCAGGTTTTGGAGGAATGGAGCGAGTCTGTTGCACGCAGCGCGCAGCGCCGCACGCGGTCGTGGGCGAATATCGCCCAGCGCACGGCAGGCCCACCGCTGCCACCAGCCGCTCGCGATGCGGTACCCCGTGGATTCCGATAATTGAATACTCGATCGGGGTGGGCCCAGATCTGACATCGGCAGGCCTCCATCCACGAGGTATTTGCTTGTACAGAAAGCCGTGTTTTTAAAATTCGTGGTTGGTTGGACATGACTCTATGGTGTACTTCTGAGCTCATTATGCCATAACAGGCAAGATGTCAACCAAAAGACATATGGCATGGATTATGCGACTAGCATTATGTGCAAAGTTAAGGTTGTGTATTCCTATACCTGCTGCGAGCTAAATCATAAAACATGGCTCCGTTTATGATTTTTGAATAGAAGAGGTGTCATGCTGCATTCCAAAGCCGGCTGGATTTATTTGGACAGAATACATGGATTGCATAAACGGTTTATAAATTTAATACTTTAAGTGGATTGAGTAAAGTGGGCCGTAAAATAGATCGGTCTGGAAAACAGTACCCGTACATGTCGAAATGTGAACCACTGGATATATGACTCCAAACTGACAACCGTGAAGCAATGAATGATTTCATTAAATTTCCCTCAATTCGTGGTACAATCCTTCAATGCGAAAAAACCCTCTTCACTCGGAAGCTTTCACCAAATAGACTTTCACATGGAGAGGGCAAATGGATGGTGGTTGTCTCGCGATTATCGGTATTACGCAAACCTTAACCGCACACCATAACAAAGCACAATAAGACACAATTTTTTCCCTCTATATGTGTACATAAGATCACGCATTTTCCATCATATCCGTAATGACAGTCAGTTTTATTGATATTTAGATGTTTTGTTTTATTGAGATGTTATTTACTTATTTTATAACAAACATCCGTAATAGTATTGTAAATATAGTGAACAACGAAGAAGGAATGTCAACAACCTAACCACTCGAACTCAAATCTCCGCTAGAACTCAAGTCAGGAACTGACATGACTGAAGGAGTCAAACAAGACAAACGAAGGGTAGAGTTAAAAAAGTCTCACGTCGCGGCCATTTTCCAAGCCCCTGCTTCGTCTCCGCCTCTTGCTTCAGGCATGCAGTCTTGCAATGGAGAGCTGAAGCAGGAAACAGAGCCGAAACCGGGGTTTGGAAAACGGCTTTCATAAACTGCCCTTCATTGCAAAACATGATTGCGAAACATTCTTGGCCTTGGTATTGAAAATAAGAAAGTACTATAAGAAAGGTTGGAGAAAGAAAACAACGAAGTAGGGTTGAGTTCAAAATAAAGAAAAGACTTCGGTCTTCAGACTAAACGTGTTAACTGGTATGACTGGAGAAAAGGGAACGAACATGACGAAGGGATTGCGGTTTGAAACGGGAGATATTGACCATTGACAGATGAATGTGGATGCATGTACCACCGGTCACAAGGGATATAGGTGAGACAAGGTATACTTACTAGGTATACAAAATTAAAAGAAATGTGCTGAAATCATATAATCAGAGCAATCTTACGTGAACTGGCCAAAGGATAGCACGAGTAGTCCCCGCGATGCAGCCCAAGAT